GTGTGTGTGTTTGTATGTGTATCTCTGTGTTAGTATACTCTCACACCCACACGGACACACACTTTTCAGTTTATAATAAGAAATAATAGAGGAATAAACTGTAAAGGAAAAGCTGGGCTGGTCTAACAAGATAACTCACAGGTCTAGGAATGTGAAGGAGAGGCTGGGCTGGGCTAACAAGATAACTCACAAGTCTAAGTATTGGAATACTGATATGAGTTCTGCTAGACTAACTTGTAAATCTATATAGGTTAATTAGTGTTGGTTTGCTGTCCATGTTTTTTTGCTAGCCAGCTGGGTTTTCAAAGATATATATCTGGCTTTGGAATGTTGGTTTGCTGCCTCCCCACCTCCACTTTTGTGATGATAATGCTGCTTAAGCTGTTCCATGCCTATGGGCCTAATACCCCAAGCTTGTACTTTACCCTATAAAACCTCACGCGCACATCTTGGAGGTTCTCAGAGCTTCGGAGCAGAAGCCCCTCTGAGCCCACTGGCGTAATACATCTGAGTACTCCAACCCTCCGAGTGGTGCTTGTTTCTTGACTGGCCTGTCGTTTCCGTAACAAAACCATAAGATAAAAAAACCCTATAGTCAATTCTCCAAAGTGAATGAATCACTTCGCTCCCACTCCAATTTATGAGACTTTCGTTTGCTCCATATCCTCCCCATTTGGTGGTGTTAGTCTTTTTTATTTTAATTGTTCTGATGAGTGAGGTGTTTTCACAGTGTGATTTTAATTTGCATTAACTCACGTTGGGTCCTGTTACATGCACCTATTTGCTATTTGTATATCCTCTTTTATGAAGCATCTATTCACTCTTTGCCCACTGGGAGGGGGTTACTAGTCTTTTTATTTCTTTTTGGTAGGAATTCATACGTATGTTGAATGTATTTTCTTAGTCATGTACGTGTGTGACTATCTTCTTGCTTCTATTTAACAAAATAGTAACGAAAAGATATTATGTGTAGTAGATATTGATACATTTAATATTTATAAACTGGCAATTTGGGAAGGAAGTTATAGTAATTGCTGTTTAAAACAGACCTTATAGTTTTAAACTTCAAAATTATATTCTATTATTCTGTTTTTGCTTTCAGGTGCAGTTAAAAACTAGCATTTCTAGTCAGTATGTAATTCGGACACAACCAACTAATAGGTGCCTTTCTACCCTGGAGTGTGCAGCTGTTGCTCTTTCTATCTTGGAGAAAAATAATTACATACAAGAGGTATGTCTTTGGAAAGCTATGTAGTTTTTGAAAGTAGGAGTTTAGTTAGATTTTATCTAGAAAACTTAAAAATACAAGACTTGTTAAATTTGTAGCTCAAGTGACAAGTAGACTATATCTGTGATAGAAATTTGTTGTACTTTTATAACCTTCCTTTCCCCTCTGGTGTTTTTCTGTTAGTTTAGCATTCCAGATTGCATTATTTAAATATTCATTCTAAGCTGCGCAAACAACATTTGTAATATGCTAAATTGTTTTTAAGTAGCACATTAAATACAGTGTTTTTGGCTAGATCTTTCTTTTAATATTCTGTATTTTTGTTTCAGTATTTGTGTTCTCTTGTACTCGAATTTTTTCTTTTTAATTAAAAGAACATTTTAAAGCAACTTTTTTCCCCCCACTGGTGCTTTTATTTGAGGAGGTATACCAACTTCCTGTTTATCTTATTAACCGTGCTTAAAGTATAAAAAGATATAATTCTTTTGAGAAAAAAACCTGCAGAATATGAAAAGGTTGTAACCTGCAATCATCATTTTATTTAATTTCCATGAAAGCCTGATGATTTCATATATAATTCATAATCATTAGTAAATAATAGTGTTTCGGTGAACTTACTAACATCTCAATCTTTTGGAACATATAAGAAACTTTACACTTACGGCAGGAGAAAAAATAGCAAAATAAAACTTACATTGTTAGCCTTTTTTAATCACTGAAAAATTTTGATGAATGCAATTCAAGAAGAAAAGTCAGAGGATAATGAGCATAATTAAATGGAGTCTTATAGTTTCCTCCTCTAAAACACACACATACACACACACACACAGGAGGTACTCTTTCCTGCCTTCTTTCTCTCTCTCTCATTTTACACCGTGGTTTCTACTATAAAAGTGTGCCAGATAAAAGCTCAGTTCAAGTAACTGGGTTAGTTACCAAGAAAATGAACAAAAGACCTCCAGAGCACGGAGAGTTAAAGAATGCCAGAAGCAGCACTGAATTGCCTTCTTCCTCTCTCCTCCCCTGAACCATGGAATGTGTCAGAGTTGGAGTTTCTGCTTTTGAAAGAAGGAGGCTTTCATGAGTAGGCTTTTTTTCGTTGTTTATTTTGAGTATCTGTATGAATAGACTTTGTTATGGGTCTAGGCAATTTCTCTTTCTCTATTCTCTCTCCCTTGAGCAAAAAAAAATTCTTGAGGGATTCTAAATCCCTCCTCCAGATGACCAGGGAGTGTTCTTACCTACTCCCATGGACCGTACCATCAACACAGCACTTAACACACCCCAATACTTGTCTTTCTGTTTTGTTTATTCACCAGCATCTTTGTGTGTTGTTGAGCAGAAAACACTATTTTTTAGGCGTCTTAAAGGAAAGATGAAACCCAGTGCTATTGCTTAAGCTTGCTTTCTGTATAGTCTCTGTATTTTCCTTTCTGTTGTAAAACTCTAGGATCAGCTAACATCAGACATAGGACCCATTGAAAGTTCAAATCTTAAGGGAAAAATATAATTTTATTTGGCTATAGAGTTAAATTTTCTCTCCTCCTTTTGGGTTATGAAAAGAATCTCCTATGTACTTATATTTCTTATTCCCACAATTGGAGTTGGGTCTTTACTGCAGTCCTAAACAGAAGCGTTAGTGTTGCTAATGGTGGTGCTTTAATAGTAGTAGTTGTAGTATATTAGGGCTAGGGTTCGGGATAGGATTTTTACCACTATTACGAATGCTGCTACTGCTCCCCTCTTTCCAGTTTTATAAGATATATTATTCTGCTATTAATGTACTGTCACAGCAGGAAACTTAGCTTATGTGTTTAGTATAATACCTAACAACAGGCAAAATTTAAGGTACAGAAGGGTGTCAGGACCTACCATTTCTTCAGCTTTTGTTATTATTTTCTGTAGATCAAGTTGAACATAAAATTCCAAAGCAATAGTGAGGTCCTAGAATTCTCATTCTGGTTTTCATTGGTCACCAGGAGTAGTCATAGTATAATGGCCAGCAGTAGAAAAAGGATGTTTTACAATCAAATGTGTGATTCGGGGGGTGCTGATAAGATGATCGGCAGGAGCATGGGCATTAGAAAAGCATTTAATGAAATATCCCAAGTTGCTGATGATTACACCTGGCAAACAATTAGCTTTCTTAGTGGGGGAACCCCAAGTCCCGCCTATTTAAATCTAGCTACAATAAAAAAATTAGTATATTCCTCTGAGAAACACAATTAGCATCTGCTCTGAAGTGGGTGTTTTCTCTCTTTCCTGGGGAGGGGAGCTTTGACATGCCTTTTTTCCCCCGAGAACCTTTCATTGGGAGCATCTTAATGATGCCTTATGTTGGTAGGGGATGATGGTGGTAGATAGTAGTAATATTTCAGCTGGCTTCATCCTGTAGAGGTAGGGCTCCTCAAAATAAGGAACTTGTCATAGAATAGCCTTCTTAGTCTGTTGATTCTTTCTTATCTTTTATTCTTGAATAGTTTTTCAAACACTTGGAAATAGCTTGATACAAGCTTTGAAGCAGGTTTGAATTAAAATTTCATCACTTATCATCATCAGTTTTTGCCAGTGGGCAATTCTTGTAATCTCTTTGTGTTTGTTTTCTTATCTGTAAAACCAAAAAAGTAGTCACCTCGTAATATTGTTGTGAGACTCGAATGGGATAATGTGTTTAGTTGCCTGACACAAGGCACTCAGGAAGGTTTCATCCCTCTGCCCTTCCTTGCCTCTCTGATTCTTGCCTATAGAATGACAGAAAATTGAACTGAAAGTTGGTGATTTTCATTCTGCTATTATAGTATTTACCAGAGTTTTTCATACCTTAGAAGCCTTGAGCTTGGAATCTTTTTTTTTTAATTATTATAGAACCTTTTCCACTTACGAAGGTTTGCCTTATGAACTTTTATAATTAGATGTGGCAAAGCTCTATGCCATAATCTAAATGCCTTAGCTCTACTCATCACTACTGGTTGGTAGTAACTGTCTTTTGAAACTATCACTTTGCACTTGCAGACAAAAGGATTTACAGAACACTGATTTTCCCCCAAATAAACTTTTAGAAACTAACTTATTTTTCAAGTAGACCATTTTCTTTGTTCTTCTGAATCAGTACACCTTTGATATAGCTTCACATTGCCTCAGATATGCTTTATTAATGTATAGAGAAACATTATCATTTATTATCAATCAACTGATGTGCTGAACGCTTTAAGTGTATCATCTTAGTGCACCATAATAATAACTTTATATAGTAGACATTGTATTCCTCATTTTACAGATGAAGAAAATGAGGCAGATTGAGGTTATATAACTTATCTGGAAACACATAGCTAGTAAGTGATTGCATTAGTCACTTAAAACTCCAAAATCAGAGTGGCATAAGCCAACAGA